GACTAGGGGCGCTCTGGACTCCAGTTGTTCTGAGAGCCTGATCTTTAACGTAGAAGTTAAAATCCGGGTCACTCCTGAGCACATGCCACGTGAGACAGCGTCTTTTTCTTTTTGTCTTTTTGTCTTTTTTTTTTTAACAACGATTTCCATTCGTTCTTTGTTCTTTCTTAGCGCAAAGGTGTTGCAGTTTATACATTATTGAACAAGCTGTAGAGAAAGTCATTACCTTGTGAAAAAAATGTTGCTTAACGTCGCCCGGTACGGCATGCCAGCAATTGCAGAGATTTTCTGACGGTCCCATTCTAGAAACTCCCATCCGTAATACGATTCACGCAGAGCACAGTGCGGCAAAACCTCCAACCAAAACGCTCAAGCATCAAATAAATTCCGTGCAGTTGGATTTTATGATTAACTGGAGAACTGGAGGAAAGGCATATCATTAGAGGTCCTGCCAAATCTTGCTGAAACAAACCAGTGCTCCTCCATGCCTCAGAAGTCCAGCGTGGTGGGGTGTGGCCGGGCTGGGAGCAGGGCTCCTCAATCCCCAGGCCACCCCAGGAATTCATGAGAGGCCAAGGGGAGCATGCCTCATGGGAAAGTGTGGCCTTCCAAAATATGGTACAGAGACAGTGTGAGGAGAAGTCTGATTAACATTTGGTTAGTTACTGTTTACTTACAGTAGGTAAGGATTGCCAGAGGCTGCCAGTCCTTTTGGGAAAAAAAATAAAATTGTAAGAGGGGAAAAAAGATCACGTTATCATTGTTGGAAAATCAAAACCACACATTGGAGTTCCAGGTGTTTTTGCTACAACAGAGAGAAGTAGGTGGTATGACTATAATGAAAGAAGAAATGAAGCAGAAGAGGGGCCCGGGGGTGGCTCAGTCGGTTAAGCATCCGACTTCGACTCAGGTCGTGATCTCGCGGTTTGTGAGTTCGAGCCCCGCGTCGTGCTCTGTGCTGACCGCGCAAAGCCTGGAGCCTGCTTCATATTCTGTGTCTCCTCTCTCTGCCCCTCCCATGCTCATGCTCTGTCTTTCTCTGTCTCTCAATAATAAATAAACGTTAAAAAAAATTTAAAAAAAAAGAAATGAAGCAGAAGATATGTGGAAGAAATAGCCACAAGAAGAGTAGTGGAGTTGAGGAATGCCCACCCTGTCTCCTTCCCTAAAAGGTAGCAGACTTGCCTTTGAATTAGAAACATCGCATGGAGCCTGGACACCGTGGGGTGGCCCAGGGCTTGGGGCTGGCAGGCACGGCAGCAGAGCCATCCTTTGTGAGACGTCCATGAACCACTGTGCCTGTTCTGCATTCAGAAATCTCCCTTTGCGCCTTTGAGATCACACGGCAGTGGTCACATGGCCTCATGGCTACTCATGATACATTTCTTATCCCAAATTTTCATTCCCTAAACCTCAGCCCCACTTCAGCCTGGAGACGCGGGCCATTTCCATTCCCTAGAATCAGAGGAAAGGTCCATCACTTCTTTGGAGGGTTGGTATTGAAAGCGAGGATGGATTTTTGACGACCCGCCCCACCCCCCTATAGTCCTGCTGCATTTCCCATAGAAATCACGTGAAGATCATGATGCATTTGCCACAGGAATCCTGCCATGCATCAGCCTCTTAACAGAAGCGTGCCTCTCGACTATTAAGGATTAAACAGGCTTTTACTGGTGCGCGAGTCAGTGCCACTCCACTGGCTGTATGTGTTGGGTCAGTTCCCCGATCCCTTTCCGCCTCAGTTTCCCCACCTGCAGAAACAGGGGGATGCTCACCTTGTCACAGGACTGTTGTGAGCGTTCCAATAAGGTAGATGTCAGTAGGGTCAGGGTCCTCCCTATTCCCAGACACCTGTCTCTTGAATTTCACTGCATCAGCAGCTACCTGTGACATTGCTCCTGTGGAATAATGTTTCCCGGGTGCCAAAAGCTTGACAGGCGAGCTTTCTAGTTTAGTGGCCATCTGGCACTGGTAAGGTTGTGTTCAAAGAGGACTTTGGCCCTCTCCTGGTAAAACACCTTTGTGGGGAAAAAAGAAATTCAAAGCCCCAACTCAGAGTACCAATCGTTATTCATAGAGCACTTCCTTGCTTTATATTACAATCCGAATTTCAGTACCTGTTAGGGGCTAAATTATGTCCTTCAATTCATATGTTGAAGTCTTGACCCCCAGTAAATCCATGTGTGACTGGATTTGGTACAGGGTCTTTTGAGAGGCAGTTGAATTAAAAGGAGGTCTTTAGGGTGGGCCCTAATCCAGTGTGACCGCTGTCCTTGTGAGAAGAGGGAATTAGGACACCGGCATACAACAAAGGGAAGCCCACAGTAAGAAGGCAGCCATCTGCAAGGTAAGGAGGGAGGGAGGCCTCAGAAGGAACCAACCCTGCGGACACCTTGATCTTTTCACTTCTAGCCCCACAACTATGAGAATATGAATTTCTGTTGTTCAAGCACTGCCCCCCCCCCCCCCCAGTCTGTGGTACTTTGTTATGGCAGCCGGAGTACAAGGATACAGTGCCATTGTTGTCCACGTTATATGGGTAAGAGAACAAAGACACAGATTAAGTAACTTGCCCAAGAGCTCCGGCTAGTAAGTGGCATAGTCAGGATTTTCCTCTGGGCTGTGCTGTCAGTCACTGTGCTGCCGTCCATCCCCCGCCCACCCCACCCCCCTTTCCAGAGTTGCCTCAAAGACTATTTGGGTCACAGTAGAGCAAAGCAGGTTAGTTTTCCATGGTGTGGTTGCTGTGTGGGATGTTCCGGTCTTGATAGAAAAATCTAAGCTCCATACGGGCAGGAAGCATGCCTGTCTTGTTTTTCTTGGTCTCCCCAAAGTCTGGGAAGGTGCCTGGTAAAAACTTGATGGCTAAAGTGATTATTTTGTGCTTGAAAAGAGTCAGCAAAGTGCTGTATTCGTAAGTCGGTTGTAAAGTGTCTCCGACAGTGTATTACGAGGTCTAAAGTCTTACGTTGTCTTTTCTGCTGACTTTGACACCTTTCTGTGCCAAGGAATGTTCTAAACCCTGCTCTTCTGTACGTATTTTCTTAAGTAGTTGTCGTTACTCACAAACTTGAAAAGGTGTCTTAGAAAGTTACTTGTAAATGTTATTTCTTGAAGTGTTCATTACCAATAAAAACTGTCCTCTGCCTGGTCATGGCTGCCTCAGCATGCTGACTCCTTGATGAGGCAATGAGGCTTAGAATACCCTGGTGCCCGGGCCTTCGAGACAGGACTGTACTTCCGTGAACTGTCTGCTTTCTGGATTCTGAAGCTAGTGAATCACCCCAGTGCGCTCTCACGCGTAGCTAACCTAACCTAGGTTTGAAATCATACGGAAGGACTCATTTGATTATTTAGAGGTTCGTGTGTTCATGTAAAGCAAGTTAACTTGTAAGTAGAAATCTAAAATTTTAACATAGTCTGATATCCTGGTTTACTCTCGTGTCTCCTACACACTGAAAATGCTGTGGTATAAAAACAAACAACAACAACAACAAAAAACCGCCAAAGCCATTTGTTTCAACAATCTGTGTGTTCACTTGAAATGCCTGTAAGTGACCACTTCACATTGCTGTGCCGTCACCCCACCTGTGCTGTCCGAGTGCCTTTCCGCTCAGGGCCCAGCTGGTGGTGCGGAGCCCGGCACGTGTCCCAGGGCAGTGGAGTCTTAGCCCAGGGGTGGGTCGGCCATAGACAGCAGTGCACAACTCTCCACAGCAGAGGAAGATCACAAGCCAGTGTTGTGTTCCTCTTGAACTCCTGTTCAAGAATAGAAGCAAAGGATCATTCTGTCTTCACTCCAGTTGAAGGCACAAAATGAGAGAGAGGTACAAGCTACCCATAAAAGTGCCTTGGTGTCATTTTGGGGGGAAAAAAATCTGCAAGTGGCCACAGCTTCCATACCATGAAAATCTCCACACTAAGTTAGGGGCTTGTGCAGGGCTGGTGGGCAGGCAGCCATCCATTAGGAAAAGCTGGGGGGCATGGCCCTGACCAACCAGTCTAGTGGCACACGGTGGCTCTGGGCGCTGATGTGCCCTCCTCCCCTAGGCTCACTTCTCAAGAAGGCTCCAGAGCTTTGTGCATGTTAACCAGGCTGAAACATTGTTCCCTTAGGGCTTTTCACACAGTCTTCCCCATGCACAGGAAGAAAGAAGGTTCACATTACAACTCAGCACTTACTCCCTTATGTAACTGAAGCAGTGCTACTGTGCTCGAGGCAGATTTTTTCTTTCTTCTTCCCTTAAAGAAACCAAACAACTCAACACACATACAAGCTGGTCACAACCCATTAAATGATTGTTTTGATCCACTAGTGGGTTTTGAATCAACCTGAAAAATTCTGCCTTACACTTAACAGATCAGCTGATGGGTTTCTAATTGGCTCATCACAACATGTGGGAAATGAGTCTCTCGTTTGGAAAGGGCAGAATTGCAGGAAGAAGAAAGAAAGGAAGGTATTGGTTTCTGCCATCAGGGTGCTGCCAGGCAGTTCTGTGGCTGGTTGAGGGGGTGGGGGGAGGGCAGGTCCCGAGTGTCCCCTGAGTGGAAGAGGCCGTGGGCTGGCCACAGGGGGAGCCAGGTGGGAGCCAGTAAGGTAGCTCTTGCTTCTTGCCTAGTTCATTAGTCCAACTTCCCGTCCAGTACAAGGCCAAAGACATCTTGTCTATGCCTTACTTTTCTCTCTGAGGAGCATAGGAATTATCTAAAAATACCACCTAGCTTTCTGCTGTTTTGATCTCTTTTGCGCCGCTAGTACTCTTAGAAGTGAATGAGAGAGCTGGTGTAGGAATTCCCAGTTTTTACAAAGGCGCCCCCCCCAACTGCCCAAGGCCACTGTCCTGCACCTTTTCCAGTGGTGGCTGTAGGGTGTGCCTGCGGTGGCTTTGTCCCCATGTGTCGTAGGGACGGGGAAGGCGTGTCCGAGCACCAGTGATGCCCTGAGCGTGCTGGCTGGCACCGTGCTCTGTGCCCACTGAGCCCTTGCTGTGTCTCCACAGGCCTCGGCAAGACCAAGAGGAAGACCAGCGCGCGAGACGCATCCCCGACCCCCAGCACAGACGCCGAGTACCCAGCCAACGGGGGCGGCGCCGACCGCATCTACGACCTCAACATCCCCGCCTTCGTGAAGTTCGCCTACGTGGCCGAGAGGGAGGACGAGCTGTCCCTGGTAAAGGGGTCGCGTGTCACTGTCATGGAGAAGTGCAGCGACGGTTGGTGGCGTGGCAGCTACAACGGGCAGATCGGCTGGTTTCCCTCCAACTACGTCCTGGAGGAGGTGGACGAAGCAGCCGCAGAGTCCCCCAGTTTCCTGAGCCTGCGGAAGGGTGCCTCCATGAGCAATGGCCAGGGCGCCCGGGTCCTGCACGTGGTGCAGACGCTGTACCCCTTCAGCTCGGTCACCGAGGAGGAGCTCAACTTCGAGAAGGGGGAGACCATGGAGGTGATCGAGAAGCCCGAGAATGACCCCGAGTGGTGGAAGTGCAAAAACACCCGGGGGCAGGTCGGCCTGGTCCCCAAAAACTACGTGGTGGTCCTAAGCGACGGGCCCGCCCTGCACCCCTCGCACGCGCCGCAGATAAGCTACGCGGGCCCCGCGTGCAGCGGGCGCTTCGCGGGCCGAGAGTGGTACTACGGGAACGTGACGCGGCACCAGGCCGAGTGTGCCCTCAACGAGCGGGGCGTCGAGGGTGACTTCCTCATTAGGGACAGCGAGTCTTCGGTAAGTGCCCCGGGGTGGCCGAGGTCTGCCCCGCGCAGGGAGGCGCAGGGACAAAACTGCGCGCCAGCGCGGCTGCGTATGTATATTGCGTAACGCGGCTGGTCTGCTCGATTCCCTTTCCACGCTGCGTGAGCTCGCTGAAAATAGCGAAAGAATGTTTGGGGCTCTTGTTAACATAGAGTCCCAAATATTTGAGGCTCCGGCCAAGCTAGCCGAATGCGCTGTGCCTGTACACGTGCGTAAGGTTGCTGCTCTGTAATTGACTTAAATCTGTTGAGGGTGTAAGTAACTCAGCTGGGGGCTGTTGCCGTCAGTCTCCTGCAGGTGTAGCTTCACGGATGGGATGGTAAGTAAAATGGTTTTCAGCTCACGAAGGTGGCTCTACTGAGATCACCTCTTTTCTGTTCTACAGACTCAGACATCATTTTCTTTCCAGGTTTCCCATTGTGTTAATGACATCCTGCCCCCCTCCCAGGCCCTGGTGGTTGACTTTGTTTTCTTTCTGGGTCCTGGGCATGTCGGTTCTCAGCAGGAGGGGCCCCTGATTTCTGACACGGCCTTTGTTGGTTGGTTGGTTTTTCTTTTTAAACCATGCAGTCCTACGGTCATCTCTGCTGCAGGCGGCACCATGGAGTTCATCTCTGAAAAGCTTTTAAAGCACTTATGAACAGAATTGAAAAGCAAAAGACAGTGCTTGAGAGAGATGAGTTTGTGTTTGTGCACTGAATCCGAGGTATGGGGCCACTTGACTTGTAGCAGATCCCTTTCCAGCAGCAGACAGATTTGGGGTTTGTGTTTCAGGTATGTGGCTGAGCCTGTCTGGAAGAACTGGGCCAGTGTCACGTAGGGTAACCTTTCAGGTGTACATTGTGGAAATACTCAACCGGTGTTGTAGATCTGTTTGAAGATATGCCTTGATAAGATATGATAAGACGCCCCCAGAACAAGACTTCTTCTGTAGGTAGAATCCATTGTGGTTACGTTGTATCGGTCCTGGCAGGTTTCAGTTTAATTTTTTAAATGCAAACTATAAGACTAGTAAGTATGTGATCTGTGTGTAATTTTGTATCCTCTGGGAAGGTTGGTAGCACGATGAGTAAGCGCATACTCAAGACTCTTGTAGAGTGATCTTGGAGGAAATCAAGGCCACAGAAGTGCTTTTCCTCTTTTGAGAGACAGACAGCTGTGATCTGTTCTTCGAGGCAGGAGGAACACCATGGTGGTGGAAACCAGACCCCTTATGGGGTCAGCAGGTCGCGAAGTTGGCGGTCGCCTTAGATGTGCTGCGGCAGGCACACCGGGCCTGGATATTAACTACATCTGAAAACTGAACTCTGAGATTTTCTTATCCACCCACCAGAGTTTATCATTTCTGGCAAGACATCAGATTGAATTGTTCTCACGAGATGTAAACTCTGTGCATAGCTTCCTTTTAGATCATGCTGGAGGCTTAGGAGAGCTAAGTATGCCGCACTTTTAACTCTTTTGAGCAAAACTTAGAGGAGGCACTGGAAAACCAATTATGGAATAAGGTGATTGGTCCAGACTATTTAAGGGATAAGTATAATCCAGAGTCAGAAAATATAATCTTGATTTAGAAATTTTGAGTTTAAGGGGCACCTGGCTGGCTCAGTCAGCGGAGCACACGACCCTTGATCTTGGGGTTGTGAATTTGAGCCCTGCGTTGGGCGTAGAGATTACTTAAAAAAAAATAAAAAAAAAAAAAGAAATTTTGAGTTTGAAGATACTTCCTAGAATACAGAGGGGCCAAAGCAACCCCCAATGTGGAGATGTTAGCCCTCTTCATTGTTCTTCCTGTTCTAGGGCTTGGGGCCAGGGTAGATGAGAAGAGTGCCCTCCAGGTTGCTGGCCTTGGGATGTTTTTCTGTAAGAAAAACACACTCAGGTGGTGTCACTATCTGAACTCAGAGACCAACTCCTTTTCAGTAGGGAGGGAGGGATACAGGCATACCTCATTTCCTTGTGCTTCTCTTTGTCATGTTTCACAGATAAATTTATTTTTCATAAATTGAAGGTTTATGGTAACCCTGTGACAGGCAAGTTTAATTGGCACCATTTTCTACCAGCATTTGCTCACTGTGTGGATCTGTTATGGTAATCTGCACTCAGTGATTATGATTCCTCGAAAGCTCAGGTGATGGTTAGCAATTTTTAGCAATAAAGTATTTTTTAATTAAGGCACGCACGTTAGTTTTTTTAACGTCATGCTACTGCACGCTTAATGGACTAGAGTGTAGTGTGAACATAACATTTCTATGCACCTGAAAGCCAGAGAATTCATGCGATTTGCTTTATTGTGATACTCACTTTACTGAGGCGGTCTGGAACCGAACCTGCAGTATCTCTGAGGTGTGCCTGTATTTATGTTATTTGGGTTCCATCTCAGCACTTGAATAAGCTCCAGTGTCTTGTTTGTCTCAGATTATTAGAGAATATGCTGACTTTCTAAATAACTGAAACATTGTTTACGTTGTATTTTAACCATTTTTATGGGAGCCTTTTTAGATTTTCTGCATTCTATCTTAACTTAGAAAACCGAACTATGACATAGTAATAGCATGACGTCAGGGGGATGGATAGGGGAAGGGACCTGCGTCAGCCCTGCACCCTCACTAGCACTGGCTCCAGCTCGAGACTGCCATGTGACCTGACGGTGTCCAGGGACGCCTGTCCCAGTGGCTTGTGCCATGACACGTGGTGTTTTCTGACGTTGGGATGCCTGCTTTGTGCCAAAAGGAGGCTGCAAGGGGCTCCAAGGGGTGTTGCTGCATTTCTCCTAACAGCAGACCTAGGTCTGCTTTTCTCACTCATATCCAGGTCACCAGAGGCTGTTGAGGAACTTTCTGGATGGACAGATCCATTCCTTATTAATCTTCCACTGTCCATTGACTACCTCTGCCTCTTGCCAGGGTTTCTCACGTCCTTTCCTCTCCTTCTTTGTCTTTTTTTCATATTAATTTTGGCATTTCTAAGATGACAGCCTGGCTTTGAAAGCAACCACCAGACCAGTGTGAGCCCTTAATCTAGCAGCCATAACCTGACATCACATCGTATCGTGCCAGAGTCAGAAAGGTTTCTGATGCGTTGGGCATACCTACTGGACTTGGAGACATCTTCTTTTCATTTCCTTTTCTCTCTGGCAGTTTTTGGGCCAGGGACTTTCCTCTGACTGAGGTTACCGCAGGACATCTGACTTCTAAATAAGCACAATAGGGGCGCCTGGGTGGCACAGTCGGTTAAGCGTCCGACTTCAGCCAGGTCACGATCTCGCGGTCCGTGAGTTCGAGTCCCGCGTCGGGCTCTGGGCCGATGGCTCGGAGCCTGGAGCCTGTTTCCGATTCTGTGTCTCCCTCTCTCTCTGCCCCTCCCCCGTTCATGCTCTGTCTCTCTCTGTCCCAAAAATAAATAAACGTTGAAAAAAAAATTTTTTTTAAAAATTTAAAAATAAATAAATAAATAAGCACAATAGCATTTTTTAGAGTGCATCTTCAAGGTATATATCATGTTTTAAGATCTCCTGAGTGATTCCAATATAAATAAGCTAGGCTCTTGCTTGACGGTATCTTGCATTGAAAACTATTCAATGTTTCTCTATTTTGAAAAATACAAAATATACCCAAGTGTGAGCCCTAGGACATGTGTGCTTTTGGGGAAGGAGAAGTACATATTTTGGAAAAACAAACACAAACATGGCCACATCCTGTGATATCCAGGATCCGTGAAGTCCTGGGTGTTTTCTGTCGGCCATGTTTTATCGAGGAAGGAATGAACAAACCAAATGATCCTGTTCGGGCACTCTTTCCTGTCCTGAATCTTAATACTCATTCTTTGTGTTCTCTACCATCTTTTCTCCCTTCCTTCCCACTTTCCTTTCTCATCTATAACTGTCATTCATCCCCAGCAGCTCAAGGTGAAACAGCCTCGTTTCTTAGTCTCCATATTCCATTATCCTTCCTGCACCTGCTAATCCCTAGCTCATTAACTCTAGAGAATTCAAAGTTCCTACCTGCTCATCATGCATCCTTCTGTATTTGTCCATCCTTCTTCTGTGGATGCGGTTGGAAAGTGGTACTTACAGTTAAGAATAACCAGCGGTTAGGTTTCTGGATGAACTGTTAGTTGTCAATAGGTTAGTTTTCCGTTTGCTCTCACTCAGAAGGAGACAGCTTATAGCGAGGATGCCGTCACCCAAGGTGACTAGCTGGATGGTGTCAGCCTGTAGTTTACGGAGCCGTTTTCCTCTGTAAGACTTTAAAAATCCCAGAAAGATCACCTGTCTTCCTCACATGTATTATGTTCCACAGTAGGATTTGGGGACTGATTTTTGGTCATACAGTACATTTGCTTCTGATAGAGAAAAGCTACCTTGCTGAAGATAACTGAACGTACATATTGTCCACATGGATAGTCATGTGTTTCAGTCCTTGCTGTTTTTTAAAAATCCATTAAGACTGGGATGCCTGGGTGGCTCAGTCAGTTGAGCATCTGACTCTTGATTTCTGCTCCGTTCCAGATCTCCTGGTTCATGAGATACATCCCTGCATCGGACTCTGCTAAGCATGGAGCCTGCTTAAGATCCTCTCTTTCTTTCACTCTCTTTCTGCCCCTTGTTTGTGCTTGCTCTCTGTCTCCCACCAAAAACAAACAAACAAAAAAAACACCGTAATTTTTTTTTTTTTTTTTTACCAGAACTCTGTTTTGGGATGATATCATCACTTTGTCTCTCTAGATCGGTGATATTCAAACTGTACCGTGTGCTAGCATCTCCTTGAGGGCCTGGTAAAACAGACTGCTGGGTCCCACCCATAAAGTGCCCGACCTGGGAGGTCTGGAGCCCGAGAATTTGCATTATTAGCACATTCCTTGGTGATGCTGATGCTGCTGGTCTAGAGACCACACTTTGAAAACTGGTAGGCAATTTTAATGGTTTTATACGTATTTACAGCAATTGCTTAAACTCCATTTCTGCTTAATAGTAC